CCCCCCAAGAGGAAATGGTGGGCATTAAAATCGCCATGTAACAAAAGTGGTGGCGGTAATGAAGAAACAAGAAAGGCAATATCTGGGATAGACAATGCCCGAGAAGGAGAGAGATACAAAGAACAGAGTGTATACCACCTATGCAGGTGGATACGGGCTGCTGTGTAATGCAGCGAAGTACGAACAAATAGCTGATGGTACGGAATATCAGTGCGTAGAAGAATGGCACTTTCATTAAAGGTCCCATCGGGAAAAGGATCTGAAGAATACAATAAATTATAGCCTGAGATAGGATAGATAACAGCAGTGTAATTTTGGTTCCTGTAAGCAAACACCAACAGGGGAAAACTGGGAGAGCAACATCTGAAGCTCACCCTGATTACCCCTGAGGCCACGAATATTCCACTGTAAATAGGCCATGATTGGCAACGATAAAGATACCTGAAATCTGCAGGTAAGGGTACCTACGGACTAGAGGGGTTAGAAAAGTCCACATGCAGTGGCAAAGGAAAACATTCAAGTAGCGAAGGAACGGTGCTTTGTGAAGAAAGGGGTTGCGCAGATGGAGAAGAGGAAAGAGAAGGAACAGAGGGTGGATCATTGTCCATTGATGGTTTGGTCTCTGCAATATATTCAGAGATTGCTTCAAGTGTTTCAGAATTCAGAGATGTCGTATGGGAGACAATATTGGAGATGGAAAGAAGAGGAGTTTGAGTAAAGATCGGAGCTGTAATGGACTGTACCAAGGTAGGGGGGGCAAAAGGGTGGAGGGAACTGGAGAAGTGTGGGAGGGGACAGAAGAGGCAGAAACCTGGGAGGTGGCAGAAGAGGAAGAAACTTGGGAGGGGACAGGGGAGGAAGGCACAGGAGGACGACGAGGATGAACCTCCACACTTGTAACAGAGCCAGTGAAAGGGGAAGACCCAGGTACAGAGACAGGGAAGGTAAAATGTGAGAGGTGGATGAAGGGAAGGAGGGGTTAAAGAAGATTTTTTAGACTTCTGAGAAGTAGAGGGACAATTGGGAGAAGGTGTCATACGAGGTCTTGTTGATACCGGGGTTTGTGAGGGAGGACACGAAGAAGTGAGGATAGACTGAGGAGTTGAAGTCGGGACGTCTGAGCCCAGGACAGCAAAAGAATTAGATACAGGAGTGACTATGGGACTGGCAACCGCAGAGGAGGCTGCAGAAGATGTGACCCCAGAAGTGGGGGGATGCTTTGAAACACGACAGTAAGAAACATGGGGCAGTCTCCCTTGGAGGCGGAGATGAGAAACCGCCATAGCATAAGGGAGACCTTCTGCCTCTTTGAGGCAACGAATTTCCCACTCATTTAAGTAGACTTGGCAATGGCGAGAGTATGAAGGGTGAGCCTCATGACAATTAAGGCAAGAGGGAGTTCGACTGCAAGACGTATTAGAATGGTCATCGGCACCACAGACTGGGCATTCGGCTATAGATCTGCAATATTTTGCTGGGTGGCCAAATCGCCAGCAATTCCTACACTGTTGCGGTGTAGGGATCACCTTCTGAACTTGTAACCGATGTCCTGCTACATAAACAGAGGATGGGAGTTCATGGCTGTCAAGAGTTAAACGAGCCACATTGCAAGGGTATCGTCTTCGCCCGCGGGCAGGAAGAACATAAGTATCTACCTTGAGAATTGGGAGATCTTGGAGTTCCAGCTGTTCGAGAATGTCAGTGCCACATGTCTTGAAATTCTGTTTGACTATGATATGGGGCAGAATAACAGTGCCACTACAAGAATTGAGGGAATGATGTTTTTCGATAGTATTGATATGTGAAAGAAGAGAAAGATCATGAGCTTGGGTAGAATTCTGGACTGTGATGATGCGCATACCACTCTTAAAAGCATAAAAGGAAATATCTCTACCAACGTGGTGTAGGAGCGCTTTGCCAATACTATGGTCGGAAAGATAGGCAGTAGAAGAAGTCGGTCTTAATGTAAAGAATTTAGTCCATTGTGTGGTCTGAAACTGAGTGTGGAGAGGGAGTGCATGACGTGTCAGTCTTTTCCGAGTAGAATGGGAAGGTAACGAAGTAACATCGTCAGGAGATTGTCGTTGACGTTTAGAAGTGGGACCAGAGTCGGTCCAACGTGGGACGGGCTGGCGATTCGAAAATTGCCGCACCGTAGAGGGAGAAGCTGGAAGCATAGTCAAAGGAGAGTGGAGGTCAGACAAATCGAAGGAGTCAGTGGAAGCCCCGGTACCTGAAGCGGGTGAGGACACAGCACCAGCAAGAGGTACAGGGGCCTTAGGAATGTCCAAAAGACGAGGCGAGGTCAGAACGGGGTGCGGTAACAATAAGGGGCCCGGGGGTAGCGGGGTCATGGATCGGGTACTCCATGGTTAGGTTACTTCTTTCTTTTTGTTTTTAAGAAAAAAAAGAAAGAAGAAAATAAAATAAAAAAAAGAATAAAAAAGGGGGGGACCAGAGAGGGATAGCTCCTAGGAGGAATGAAAGGGCCAGAAATCTCCCTCCGCGCCCAAGAGAACCTCAGCACTGCAAGTAGCGCAGATGCAGCATGGAACCCGTGCCATACCCTACCCATCATGCCAGTAAACCAGCAATCCGGGATAGCAGCCTCACATCTGCCGAGCTACCTCGGTGGACAAAAGAGAGGGTGGCCAGATATCCGCCACAAAGCATACCTCCTTCGGCCACCACCCCCGGAATCCGAAAGGTGGCTTCCAGAGATACACTCGTCGCCCGAAAGACACCCAAAGCCACCCTCCGGGATACCGGAGAGGGATCGGGACATCCCCAGGCAATCCAGATTCCACGGCAAACTACACCACTGCCAAGAACCTCAACGGAATGGGATGGACCCCGGTACCCTTTCCCCTACCTAGGAACTAGCGCGCCTGTGGGAAAAAATCCCAAAGGCCAAAAAGGAAGGGCAAAAGGGAGGGGTGGGGAGGAGGAGGAGGAAAGGAAAAAGGGAAGGATGGGATAGGGAAGGGGGGATTAGGGGGTAATTAGGTTCGGTCTGAGGAAGGAGACCGACAGGTCTAATCCCTCAGACCAAGAGCCTCTTCACCACGCCAAGGAGCCCCCCTTTAAGAGGATGCTAGTGAAAAGCTCTGAGTTCAAGCAACTATAAGTACTTTCAGACCTGATCACCACTCATTCTCCAGGTGATCTATGGCCCCTACAGGCTTAGCACTTCCCCATTAATGTAATAATCAGATCACAATGAGGGCATATAACATTCCCAGCACCAGCAGTGATTGTTCTCTAGTAAAGAATTCCTAGCAGGCAGTACTTATATTTACTGTAAGGGTGCTTTGTGTGTGTCTGATGATTACTTTAGCATTATAAATAATGGAAGAAAAGGAAAGTAAAAATGTCAAACTATTTTGACATTCCTGTGTGGAGGTAGTGTGATGAAGACCAGGACGAGCCTTGTTTATCTTGAAATATTTATGCACCTTGGTAATTGACCTAGGAACATATCTCATATCTGCACATAGTGAAAATATTCTGTAAAGTTGTATTCACACTTAGCTTTTGGAAGTATAATTTTATATAAAAAAAAAAGTTAAAAAATGTCATAAAAGCAATAGACTAAAACCAAGGAGAAGGCATCTGAGGTGTCAGGTAGGAGGTAGAGGTATGATGAGGTTCAAAGAGCACTTTAACCAGGTAGATCATTCAGTGTTCTTGGCAGTACATATCAAGGAAATGCATCACTCACACACACGCATAAAAGTTAAAATTAACACTAAAAACTACAAGCATGAATAAAACAATAGAAATACTGTCATTGTCAATTTGAAGGGAGAAATATATCTGGTGTGAAGGAAGCAGTACAGCCTCTCCTCACTTAGCGAGATACTCATTTACCGACGACTTGGACTTACGACGGGCTCTCTTGACCAGTATGCATGACTAAATAATGTATGTTAGAACTGATTTCCTCTATTCTGGTTACTACAATATACAGTACATTACTGTATACACATTTAAAAAATCCTAAAAATGTTATAAATGGTGCAAAGGTGACATTAAAATAATATCAAAGAGAGTCGATACAAACCCACTATTATAGTATACTCCTCACTTAGTGATGAGTTCATTTATCGACGTGGTCTTAGGAACTGAACTTCATTGTTAAGTGAGGAGAGGCAGTAATTACATTAGCAGGTGAATGAAATGGCTTGTTGCTCTGTGTAAAACTTTATGAAGTCATGATCTGATGAAGCTCTGCACAGAGCAACTTTAGCCCAGTAAAACATTCTGTAACTTGTCTTTGTCTTCACACTAGCCTGTATTTCACCTGCAGATGTTGGTTAGTATAGTGTTGAGAAATCAAAGAAAGGGAAAGTTCTGGGGTAATTATTGAGATCTGGTTCTTGTGTGAATTGATCAGTTATTTCTGAAATTGTCTAATAATAGATGAGTTTTTATCATATACAAAGTTTTTTGTGCAAATAGTAAAAAATGTAACTGAACATAATGAAACCCATCCTTTAATAATGTAACCTTACTCCTCCAGCAGTAGAAATGGAAATAGCATCTTTGTTTACCTTCACTCTGATTGGCTGTGTGCGCGTTAAACTATTCGGTGCTAACTACATTGGCTCTGACATGCTGCTTGTTCCAAAAACAAATATTTTTGCTAATGTTTCTCACAATACGAATTTGTACAAGAAATAACAATTATTGCCAAGGTATAGTGAGCATGCTTGTATTTAAAAAACTAAAATGCTCAAGTTCACACAAGGACATGATCTCAATATTAGTCATTCCTGGGGCATTGTCACAACTGACACATTCTTTGTTCATAAATGAAGCAGGTGTAAGGAAGAACATTGTAGTTACACATAAGTAGTATTTACCATAGCTCACGTTGTATTGGATTTATCCAACAGTTTTATAAGCTTTAATTTTTTCATTCATACATTTTCTTCTATTTGGTAATTTGCTAATAAAAGCTGCTTAATTTTTAAACATGTATTATTTTTCTTTTACAGAATATGGGACAAGATTTTCAAAATAGAAGAAAAATTTGCAATATTAAGGTCAACATTATTGAAGCTATTAATTCCATTTATACCTAGCAGTGTACAAAATCAAGAATTTGGATCATATTTTAACAAAATTTGCTAGGTAATGTAATAGCTTTTAATTTTTTTTTTTTTTTTTTGAAGTTTAAAATAGATCCAGCTATGCTTGTGGCCTTGAAAAGATGAAATATTGGATGTGACTTGTAAGGTCAGTAATGACTCAGCTATGCTGAGTCAGCATTGTTTCATAGTTTGTTGGTTCCACATTTTGCTACCATTAAATAAAACAAATCTAAATACAGCTAGCTGTAGTGTTACTTTTCGTTCCAGCCAAAATAAATGCTTCTATTTTATTCATATGCTAAAAGTCTCCAGTGGCTTATGTATTGTATTACAAATCCTCTATTGCAGACATGTAGAATTTGTAAGAAAATAACTAATTTTAAACAAATTTATTTATTGAAGCTTCTTTGCAAAGAACTGATAGTGAAAAATGCTCACAACTATTTGGTCTTATTTCATGTTAATAATGTCAGCAAGTGTAATTCTGTGGAACCCTTACATATACAAACAGGGGAGCGAGGTTAAAAATTTTGTTTATGTGCAGATCATGAATTTTGATGGTAACTCGCATTCTTGGCAGAACACTCATTAGCAAAATAAAACGGTACCTTGTAGTTCATTTTATATATATATTTTATTATTCATGCCAGATAAGGGTTGTGTGGGACTTAAAAAATAAAATGTCCACATCCACTAAATTTTTTTTTTTTTTTTTGTTTTATCATCTAAAACATGATTAACTTGAAAATGCAATACCCTTAAAATTATAATAATTTTAATTCTCAGTTTGCAAATAAATTCTTGAATAGAGTTCAGTCACATGGAAAACAAAACAATGAAATTTTATTACCCTGTTATGCATTCATGTCTCCGTGAGTATATTAAATTACCGTATTATAAAACAGGCTTGATGCAGATTATCAGGGTGTAAGGTGACAAATACCTTGCCTCACCTCTGAGCAAGATATTCGACACCAATTGTATAGATTAATACAACTAAATGGAAAGTTGATGGACAAGAGCCTAAGGCATTCATCAATATGATCCTCCTTGAGAGCTCTTCAATGTCTGCTTTCTTACTAATTCTCTCGGTTCTTGTATTAATCTGTCTCTGGTTCAGTTTAGCTGTCTGATGATCAATAATGTTTTTCTGAAAATTGTATGTTATGTCAGAGGTGTAGTCACAGTTTTGTTAACTTTTATTACAGCTAGTCTGTAAATTTACATTATTACAATTATAGGTAAGTGCTAAACCTGTAGGGGTCAAATAGTGCCTATGGAATGACAGGCAATTGGGTTTGAGTTTAAGGAGGAGGGGTAGTTTGATTATTATTTTTTCAAAAAAAAAGCGTTTAGCACAGGGGGGTAGTTTGAAATTGCCGCACAAGATTTCCCTTCACTGGCTTCCCTTTTTAATTCGGTTTTTAATTTTTAAACCACACCCTAGGCCCATTTTTATTGCTTTTTAATGAAAATTTTTGGGTTTCATTTTAAATTTTTTTTCGTTTCTTCAGTATTTTTTTATAGTTTTTTTTGTTACTTTTCTTTTTTTAAATTCCCCCGTAAGCCATGCGTGTTGTAAGAGGGACTAAAATACCGGGAGCAAGGGGCTATTTAAACCCTTCCCTTTATAAATTACTAAATTTAAGAGAAAAATTTTTCAGTGTTTTGAAAAAAAAGATTTTTTTTTTTTTTTACAAAACGCATGGAAAAACATTTTTTTAAAAAAAAACCCAAGTTTATAGTAACTTTTTTTTTAAGGGTACAGTATTCCCTCTAGGCTAGGCATATTTTTTCCCTCCCCCTAGGTTAGGTCTTCCCTAGCTTCTTTTTAAATTTGCCCCCGGTGTGCCCTTTACCTACATTCTCAGTACATTTTTGCTGTATTAGTATCTGGGACATGTTAGAACTGTATATGTTGTTTGATTTTTTCAGAGGGAAAAAAAATTTAAATTTTGTTACATCAAAACAGTCATTTTCTGAGTGCCTCTGCCAAAGTGATGGTAAAAGTATTGAATGCTGTCGAACGTTTTTTCGTTTTCTTTTGGGGTCCCCCCGGGCCTCGGTGGGAAACAGCCAAACATTTTAAAAAAAAAAAATTTATTTTTGAACAGTCTTCATATCAAAAACTTGCTTTTTCTAAAGGCCGGGAAAAAAGCTTTGGGTTTTTTTGTTAGGAAAGGACCCTGGGCACTACATTTAAAATTTCTCTTCCTATAGAGGGAAAAATTACTGAGCTCCCCAGGGGGGTTTTTTTTCTTCATTGATTTCCCCTTGGACCCTTAAATTTTTCCATAAAAAAAGTACTGAAAAGCCCAATTAGGGCCTAAAAAATTTAACTGTGTGAGGACAAATGTTTTTTTCTTTTTTGGGTGTTGATTTTGTCACAGTTTGCAAAACTTGGAAGGGACTGTAGGGTTTAATCCCAGGGCTTGAAAAACCAAAGAAATTTCGATATGTTAGTGCTTTCTTTATGGGAACCCTTTTTCCATATACAGCTCTCCCACTTAGCGCCATACTTGTTTTCGAAAACCCCGGTAAACAAGTACTTTTAAGCTCTCTGCCCTTTTTACATGTTTTGCTTTCCTAAAATGTTTTTTAAAAGCTGTTTTTCCCCCCTTCGGTTTATTACAATATAAAATTCCCCACTCCCTGTTTAAGCTTTTAAAAAAATTAAAACCAGAAATGTTTTTAAAGGGTGCAAAGGGCCTTTTAAAAAATATCAAAGAGGGTCAACACAAACCCACTATCATTTAGTCGGTCCTCACTTAGGAAAAAATTTGTTCCCGTTTGGGGGTTTAGGAACTAAAGCTCTGTCTTTAATTTTGAAGAGAGGACTGTACGTGTTCTTAGCTGTCGGGGAAATTTTTTTTTTGTAACATTCTGGGCTGCTGTTTATCCAGGGAAAATTGCTTTTAAAATATTTAATTGATGGTTTTTGGGGGCCCTTTAAAAATTTATGGCTTTTTTAGGGGACTTTAAAAACTGTCGTTTTGGGGCGCCTTTTGCAAAGACATTGATTTTATATTAATGAGGGGTTGAAATTGTCAAATGTGATGGCAGTTTTTTTCCCTTTTTTTTTTGGGGGTCCCCCTGCCTCGGTGGGAAATGGCTGATGTTTTAAAAAAAAAAAAAATAGAATGGGGGGGAACCTGGAAACCCTTGGGGAAAAAAGGGAGGATTTTTTTTAAAAATTTCCATATTTGCTGTGCGAGTTATTTAAAAACATTTTGTAGAGCTTAAGATTTGGTTCCCCAGCCCGTGATTTTTGGGGGGGGAAAAGTTAGTGCCCTCGGGAAGGATAGGTGGGGATGTTGGGGGTTTTCAGGGGTTTTTGGGAATTGTGATACCTAGTACTTCGGGCAAGATGGTGAATGTTTTTTTCATTTGGTCACAAACTTGGTAGGAAAAAGTAAAAGGGGAAAAAAAAAGGAAAATCACTTTTATTTCTTGGAATGTTGGTGGGGAAAGGCCCATAATTTACACCGGGAAAAATCCGGGAAAAAAAAACGGGCCCCAAAACCAAACAAAAAAATTTTACTTTGTATGAAGTCTTGGCAGGGACAGTGCAAAATCTTTCTTTTTTTCAAAAAAGGGCCCGTATCTCCCCAAACCGGGGGGTGGCCCAAAAAAAAAAACAAAAAGTTTCTCCTTTCAAATTTAGAAATTTTATACAGGAAAAGGGGTTACTCCCCCCTTGTTTCCCGGCATTTTAGTCCTCTTACAACAGCAGGCTTACGGGGGAAAGGGAATTGGGGTTTCCACTTCCCCTGGGAGGTAAGGGAAAAATAAACAAGAAGAAAAAATAGAAAGAAATAGGAAAAAAACCCCAAAGGGGGGTGAAATATATATATATGCTTGTACATGTATGGGTAGGGTGACCTAATTTGTAAGTAAAAGTGAAAGACGTTTTAAATCTTGCATGTATATGAGACAAAAATAAAAAAAGAAAACCAGCAACCCTCCCATGTGTAAAACAATTACAGGCTTCATTTTTTCACTCACTTGGGCAAAAACTTTAGTCCCTTTTGGGGGGGTTGCTGTCCCCAAACCCTACTCCCTTTAACAGTTCAAAATACCTCAACAAAAAAGGAATTTTTGTGCAATTTACACTAAGGAGAACCCCAAGTGCCCGAGGTCCGTTGCTTTTCGTGCCCTCCCCCCCGGGGCCTTTACAGGGAATAAAAAAAAACATAAGTTTTAAAAAGGGGGAAAAACTGGAAAAATTTCCTCAAATAAGTGCTGCCATTTCGGACGTAGTTTGAAAGTTGGACTGTGGCGCACCAGCCCAAAACTTACAAACTGAGGGGCATTGCCCCCCAGAAATTTTCCTTCGGGCCTTCCCTCAGCTATGTACAAATGGGCCCCAACTTTTTACAAGGGTGCGGCATCTTTCCAAAACTGTCAGGACTATGTAAAGCTTGTTTTCTCCCCAAAAATTACTGTAGTTGTTTTAAGGGTTGTTTATTTAGACTTTAAATTTTTACATTACTGTTTTGAAAGGGGATGGGGAAAAACCATGAAATTTTGGCCAAAACCCTTTCCCCAAGAACAGCCATAATTTTTAAACCTTTTTTTGGCACTGTCCCTTTTTAAAGGGACAATTAGCAGGGGGCCCAAAAAAAAAAGGGACTGGCACATCTCGGGAGGGTGGGGGTAAATTTGTGGCATTGGTTAATAATTTTAGGTTGAGAAAGTCTGACTTTGAAGTATTTTCAGTCAGGGGGTTTAATTTTTAATTGTTTGTGTCACCAAATTCCAAAAAAAAAAGCGCTGAATGAATGGTAGTGAATGTGTGTGTTCTTTTGGGGCACTCCTTTCCTAGGGGAGTATAAAGCTGTTGGAAATTTTAGTTTTGGAATGATTGGTGCTTTTGCTCAATAAATTTCTCGGGAAAAGGGGAAGGTTCCCCAGGGAATTTTGGGAGAGAGTGTGCAAAGGGTTTCCCTTTTTATAAAGGAAATGAGGCGAAAAAAGTGTAAAAAATTTTAGAGGGAAAAAGCTTGCGAGTATCTGGTAAAGGGTATGTTTGTTATTTTAAAAAAAAATTGGCTTTAAAATGGGGGGGCGGGTTTACCGATGAAAAGGAGGTTTTAGAAAGGGGAGGGGGGTGTTGTTGACCCCAAATTTTTTAAAATTGAAGCTTTTTAAGTGGAGGGAAAGGGGTCAAGGGGTTTTGTGTGCAAGGGGGCTTGGGGCCTCCAGGGGGTATGAAAGAGGGTTTGGGGTTTGACTTGGGGCAGATGGTTTTTTTGGGCCTTAAAAAAGCTGCTGGAGTGTGAGTTGGTAACATTTTGTTTTAAGGGATTCAAGGGAAAAAATGGGGAACCAGACTTGGTCTAGGGGGCGAGGTATAGTGCCCGCACTTTTGAAGGGGGGGGGGATTCTGCTGTTTTGAAGAACATTGAATTGTTGCTTTAGCATGCTCAGGCAAAATGGTGCTAGGTTAATGATGGTGAAAGTTATTCTTTTTTTTTTGGGTTTGGGCCCCACCTTGGGGGACAGTTTTCCACCCCAAAAGGGAGGGTCCAAACATGTATAATATTCATTATTCTATGATTGTTTTTTACTTTTTTTTAAAAAACATTCATAAAATAGATTTTTGGAACAATAAT